AGAATGAAAAATTTTACCTCAAGAAAAACATTAATTGTCAGCTTCGGGGGCTAATTAGCGACGCCTTTTTAAGTTCGCGCTCTGTTGCCTTGCAGCAAGAAGGTCCTGGGTTCAAATCCCAGCCCAGGGTCTTTCTGCACAGAGTTTGCATGTTCTCCCTGTGCATGCATGGGCTCCCTGGCTTCCTCCCACAATCCTAAAGCATGACTGTCAGGTTAATTGGTTTCTCTAAATTCTCCCTATGTGTGAGTGTGTGTGTGTGTGTGTGTGTGCGTATGTGTGCATGGTTGTCTCGCCTGGAACGCAGCTGAATCCCACTAGGGACAAGGGTGAACAGAAAATGGATGGATGGATGGGTCAACATTGATTTTCCTATTTTATTACTAACTGATCAACACATGTCACAAGATCCATCTTTTGTTTAAATTCATCGCTAAAATAGTTATACTTCATTGCACATGTTTCTCTGTACTGTAATTTCATGTACTTTCAGACTGTCAGAAGTCTGCTTTCAACATAGGTGGTTTAATACAAAAGACACCAAAATTACATTTTTTTTTTTTAGATATAATGGACAAGTTTATTTTTGACGTATGCAATAAAATCACCTAATCTGTAAAACGTAAATGTAAAGTCAAGCTAAACACTCATCGCCCCTTTGGGTAAAACAAAACCCACTGTTACTAATGTTGTATGCTGACAGAAATACCGATTCATCTCCACATCATGATTGTTTAAGCAGAAGCAGTTCGTTGAAGCAGAGTACATTTTATTTCATTTTGGAAAGCAGAAATGAAATGGTCTTTCTACACGAAAAACACATAGATCTGAATACACATGTTAAAATGAGCCACTCGTAATCACAACAAAAAGAAAGTTGAACATGGCAAGAAGGCTTTCGAGCCCAAACCTGAGACTGCAGCAAACACTGACTTTGTGGTTTCAACCTAAAAAAAAAAATCACAAAATTCACCACTTACTGAGTGCAGAATCACATCATCTGCATAGAGAAAGCCCTGTTTATCGTCCAGTTTAGTTTGGAGTCATAAACGAGAGGCACTTAAGCTGCCAGACCTCAAAATTCTGATTTTACACCGATCTGAAGTTGGCGTGTGAGCGTATGTTCAAGTTAAACACAAACTTGATCTAAAACATGTCATTATGAAACAAAACTCAGAGTACAAATAATTAAATACTACCCTCTATAGTTGTCCATATGATTAAAAATAATAAATAGGAAAATAAAATAAAAAAAATTGTTCCAGAGTTCCCACTGCTTTGGCAGAGCCAAATGAAGTCTAGAGTTTTGCAAACAGGGACATGAATACATGAGAGATGTTTAAGCACCAAGAATGGGACGAAACCCCTAATTCAAATGTCTAAAGTTCACTCTTCATCCCAAGTTATTCACGTGTATGTAGCCATCTGGCATTCCCACTGAGGCAATTGTATAAAAAAGTATAAAAAATTAACAGCTTAACGGACAAAAAAAAAAGTGTACCTGTGGAAGTAGGAAGAACACATATATGGTAAAAATAGTGTTGAGATAATGGCAAGAAAAAGGTGTCTATCCCTGTGCTGGCAGTGAAAGGATATAAATGTGTATTTTAAGAATACTTGCAGAAACCTGTAACAATGCTTTTTTTTCTCCCTTCCAATTTATGCCCTTGTGTGTTGGTCTGTCATTACACAGAGATGTTTGTTGTATTTACTTCATCTCAAAATGATGCAAATATTGTTATTGGGTGAAATAGAAAGAAAAGTAACCTCTCCCAGTCCTTAACTTATATCTTCAAGTTAAATGGCTGCTTTAATACTGAAACGTCACCAGTGGCAAACAAAAATCCCCCGTAAAAATAAATAGCCATTATAAATAAACAGTTCTTTTGACAAGGGAACATCGATTCCCTACCAGTTCTCATCAGAGAACGAACTGGAGCTGCCGGAATCGGAGTCGGCGTCCGTTAAGCCGTCCAGGTCCCAGTCGGCGCTGGAGCCGCTGTCGTCGTCCTCCTCCGTGGAGAAGCTGTGAGCGGACCCGAGGCACGCCGGGTACACGCGCGTCGACACGCACACGGGCCCCAGGGTGGACACGTACACGGCCATGATGTTCTTCCACACGTCCCGAGCGGGGTCGTACTCGTGGATGAGGACCCTGTTCTTGTTGTGCTGAAGCAGCGTCTGCGTGAGGAGCAGCAGCTTGCCGCTGTGCTGGATCACCTGGTAGTTAAGCGCTCGGCTGTCGATGGGGATGTCCCCCAGCCTCTTCCACTCCCCTCTTGCGGGGCTGTAGGCTTTGATCACGGGGATGTCGCACACGCAGACGATCTGCTCCTGGAAGACGCAGGCCTTGTGAAGCTTGTCCCTTCGGAGCGAGCCACAGTGGCGCCAGCGGTTTCTCTTGGGGTCGTAGCAGAGCATTCTCCTTTTGTTCACCACGTACAGGTGATCATGCAGAGCCACCACTTGCATTTTCCCCAAAGAGTGAGGCAGCGGGGCCACCAACGTCCACTGGTTCCTCTGGATGCTGTAGCACTCCACCTCCTTTAATCTGACGTCTGTGACTGGATTTCTTCCTCCCAGAAGGTACACGTGGCCGTTCAGGTAGCCCATCCCTGAGTGGATTCTGCCCAGCATCCTTTCCGCCAACTCCTGCCAGCTGTTGAGGACGGGATTGTACAGCCAGAAGTGTTTGGAAAGGTGGGAAGCCAAGTACAAGTTGTTGTCCGGCGTGCCGCAAACGATAAGCGACTCCATGGTGGAGCGTTTGTAATCTTGACTGCTGAGATCTTCCAAAGGCGGAGCCATAAAATACAGGTCCTCGGAGTAGGGGTCGCAGCACATGATGTTGTCGTTGGGCAGGCCAAAGAAGAGGATCATCTCCTTCGCGTTCACGCCTATTCTGTGTTTTGGTGCGTCCAGAGGCACAGACATGGCGCAGCCGTCCTCTGCAGACCTGCTGAAGAAGGATGCCAGGTATGCCTCGATCAAAGGCCTCACCGCCAAGCTCTCCAGGTAACACTTGTCCTTTTCGCTGAACAGGCTCCAGCGCACACACTTCAGCACCTGCAGGGCGTCCTCTTTACCCACAGGCGCGTTCACCTCCAGCCACTGGACAGCCGCAGAGCACACCGTCTTCTCACAGTCCACATCCAAAGTGTCGAGAGACAACAGTTCCTTAAACTGATCCGAACTCAGCTCGCACAGATCCCCTCCGTTAAACACCTGGTTGAAGTTCCTGGCAATGAAGGCCTGGGCGTTCTCCTTCAACTCCGGATTGTCGTAGGTGTCCGCAAACTTCAGCATCCCCACGCAGTTGGAGTGATCCAGCCTCCTGGTCATGAAGCCGGAGCAGGCTTTCCGGATGTACTCCAGCTGCAGCATGTTGGCCGCCGCGTACAGCCGCTGCACGTTGCCCTCCGTGATGGTCACCCTGCCCGTGTAGCAGTAATCGATGATGACCGACATGGATTCAGAGTCCACGCCGCGGATGAGCACCCTCTCCTGGGCGCTCTCGTTCAGCCCGCCCGTGAACATGCTCTTGAAGTACGGGCTGGCAGCGGCCAGGACGTTGCGGCTGCACAGAAACGCTCGACCCGCGTCAACTCTTCCTCCCTCGCGGTAATCCAGCGATTCCTCCTCTTCCTCCTCATCGTCACGCTCAACCCGGATGGTAACGTCGCCGAGCAACCGAGAGTCGTACATCAGTTTCAGCTCGTGCATCAAGCCCCGAGCGTGGTCCACGTCCTCCAGCACCTCCGGACCGTTGAAGCAACCCAGCGACGAGGCCATCACTGCAAACCCTCCCTTTTAAAGCCCAGAGTCACAAGTTGTCAGGCGGCAAACATGATGCGCTTCTGCCTACTCGTCGACGAAAATCAAACCTGGTTAAATACGCTGCAGCCGAACGTCCGCCTGAGCGTCCAAAAACTAACATTTCTCGGTGTCCAAATGGGCTCAGTCTCGCTCCTGAACGAAATGTAATCTACTAACCACAAACAGAGCGTCACTTCTTGTTGCTGTCAAAGCTCTTTCTTCTTGTTTTGATAGCAGCAAGCAGGCAGCTACAATACGGTTAAATAGGCGTCTGTTTGGAGTGGGCTGCTTCTTACTTCCGGAGATGGAGTTTCAGAATAATGCACGCTCTCTGTGAATCATCACAAATACTGCTTTTTCGTCCGCTTTATTTTCATATCTTGAGTTCCTTATAATGCTGTATAATTTTATTTTACAACATCAGCTACTTTGTTTGTTTAAAATCAAAACCTTTCTAACTCCAAAGTAGAAACTTAAATCTCTTATTTTGAAGCCTTGCTGCATGCTGAACTTGTAGGCTCTCACAACCTTGCTAGATTATGGCGCAGCCTTCTGATTGGTTTGCGAAACTGTGTCAGTTCGTGTTAGGTTGACCGAGATTCAAGCGAATTAAGTATTTAAATTATTTGATTAGCGAAAGACTCTTTCCCTGTGAAAAGCATAAATAATTTAAGGATCGAGATGGCTAAACAGACTAGTGTCATTTAACAACACCTAATAATAAATGGAATAGGATAAATATTACATCGTCTTCTACATCTGATGAAAGCAATAATTTTGTAATTAGACACAAAAGATCAATGAACGAATCCTAATAAAATGACTCCTGGACAGCCCAATGAAGCGAAACATTAGGTAAACATAGTGTGAATAACTGCACACTATGTTTACTTTCGTCTTTACTATGGTTAAAAGGTAAAAATACATTTTAAACCCATATTATTTGATTTCTGGGAAAATTTACTTGCAATTGGGTTTTAGTTACAAGATAAACCAATCATAATTTTTGCTTTGATTAATAATAATAATAATAATTTTATGTAACTGGCCCCTTTACCCAACACACCGACCTACAAGTTGCAGGAAGTCCTAAAGACTAATAAACTTTGAATTAAAATAACTCACTCTGAGCCCTAATAACTGCTTTGTAGTTTTATTGCAAAGTATTTATTTAGTTACAAGACTCCATATAAGATGCTTCTGTTGTTTGGTCAGTGTTTGGTCTAGGTTTATAATTTATGCATGTAATGTAAGATCAGTAATAAATATGACCAGATCTGCATACATGGCCTTTGTATGCAAAAGCCACGTCTTTTCAGGTGAATCTCCGGCTGAGGTCGTTGATTCTGCGCAGGGCGTCTTGGTTGCGGATGGTCTTATGGATGGTGATGATGAAAGGGAATGCTGAGGGCAGTTCCACCTTTTTACTCAACTTCTGATGACCCCAGTGGAGACAGCGCAGCCATTCTGCGAGGTCACGCCGACCTGCTCGCTCCAGTGCGTCTTGGAGTATTTTGGTCTTATTTGGCTTGTCCCATGACCGCTCATACCTGGTAATCAATCCAATATCAGAAAAAAGGAGAGAGGTGCAACATTTTCTAATGTTTGTATCCCATAGGTGATACAGTGATACAAAGTAAATTTGGTGCAAAACTACTGTGACATTAAAAAAAAATTTTTTTTCTTCTTTCAAAGAAATGAAGTTCTGAAACTTGAATGCGCAGACCCACCCCCACACACATAAATAGTACCATCTTTCCAGCATGAGCCTGGCCTGTTCGCTCTTCTCTGGTGATTTGGTGTGGAACTGGTGTATTTCAGCCCTGCTGAAACCAAGTTCAGATGCCAGAACTGCCCATTCAAAACCCAGTTGTTGGGAAATCTCCTGCAGCGTCCTCAGGTTGGTCACAGCATCCTAATTTTTTATTATTTTTTTTTAAAAAATGGCATGATAAATGCTCTAGCAATCTTAGATGTAGTGTATGTCAAGCTTGTGTATCAAAAAAAAAAGTTTAGAACTTACCTCTTGAGCTTTGTTAGGCATTTTTAGAAATACCGAGCTTCCTGCAAGTTTCCCAACAGCAGGAGAATATACTTATGGCTTCTTAACTGTACAACCCTGAACGTTACTTTGGAGACTACCCTTCAAAACACAGGCATGTTAAAGATTAGTCAGCTCAGCTCTTCCAGGGTCTTTGCTGCAGCAAACATCTGTCCGGTTCAATGCTCTGCCTGACTTCTACAGACAATGTGAAAAGTTCAATATTCCTTTTCTACATTTATCATGAAACTTTAGCTAAAAAAACAAACATATAAATCATTGGGTTTAAGGTAAAGTTATTTAAAATCCACCCCCAAAAAAAATCATTTTTCTACCAAAACAAATATTTGTTTTGAATCAACGATTTGCTCAGAATCTGATTTCAACACACGATGTTTTATGCATCCTGTGTAATTTTGATTGAAAAAAGGGCAGAAAAATAGAATCGAAAGATTATTGTCATGTTTTGTAGTTTGTGATTGTGAATAGGACCAAAATGGAGAGATGAACCAGGAATGAACATAGCGAAAGACTTAATGATAAACTTACAGAACTGGAACAAGGCAGACTTTACACATGGAAACAAAACAGAAATGTGCCGCTCAACTTGATCTTTAACAGATTCTGAATCCGTTTTGTTCCGTTTTACCACATCGGGTGAGCGAAAGAGCGGACAAACGTGCTTTGAAATGATTTATTCGTTTTAAAAATTAAGCCCCTCTTTTTTTTGTTTGTGATCCATAAAAAGCATGTGCAATATTACTGCAACAATTAAATTTATGAAATAACTGTAAAGATGTCATGTAATTACAGAAAATGAAAGAAAGTAGCCTCAATATGAAATGTGCACTCCGACACAAATGAATATCATATTTGATTAAAAAAAAAGAAAACAGAAAAAAAAAAGAAGGAGATGATTTACTTTTACAGGTGAATCATAATACCCATCTAAAGTGCTGCAAGGTCCAGCCATAAAACAGAACTGTCAAGAAACACAACACTGCTTAACAGGAAGTAACTTCATTCCAGTTTGAGCGTCTTCTTCTATGTCTTGCCACGGAATGAAAAGTAAAATAACATTACTCGCGAAATCAACCACAGAAAACCATTCAAAGCACTCAAAGCATGTACGGAAACGTTAGGCTGGAGAGAAATTTCCACTCTAACGAATTAAAGTAATAATCGTCAACAAGAAAAACTCGAAAAAGAACAAAAATAAACATAAAAGAGGATTTCTTCTTTCACATTTAGAGTCTCATTATCAGAGTATTGCCTGTTGTTATCATTGTGTCATCAGTGTTTAAGCAGGAAGTTTAGATCCAGCCTGCTGGATCCACACTTTTCTCAGTCTTTGTGTTCACATTAACAGTCCCTTTCTCTGGGAGCTCTTGGCAGCATCATTTTAAAACAGTACTTTGCTCCCATGCAGAGTAGCCCTGTGCAGCCCTCAGACTTCACCTCAGTTCGGTCCTTTTGGGCTCAGTAGCAGCCGTCTTTCCAGCTGCCGTCCCTCAGGGCGCTCAGGGCAGCCAGGCTCTTTGGAGGAGCGAGCAAACTGTGGAAAGAAGGAAGCAAGTCTACTGAGCATCTGATAAATAAATAAAAGAAAGGTTAACCCGATCAAATACAATTAAATGATAATAAGATTAGGAAACTTGTAGAACACAGAGGAAACACGTGGTGACACCCTGCTAGTGTTATCAGGCATCATTTAAAACAGTGAATGAAGGTTCTTGGACGCAGAACAAGATATGTAGAAGGATGGGCTCGCAGTTCATATATAGACCTGAGCCAGCGTCGCCCCCTACAGGTATGAGATAATTACTGCAACTACGCTGATGCTCAGTTATCACTTCTGATCTGTAGCTATTGGAATTGTTATTCACATAACCTTTGAGCACAAGTAGTTTCGCCTTGTTTCCCTCTTCTCCTCTCTGTGCTTTGCTTTCTGGGTCACTGACTGGATTTGTTGGGTTTAAAGTTTGACTTGTGTTTAATTGCAGCATATTTAAGCAGTAAAGTTCAGTGATATAGATCTGAAGCCTGTGCACATCAATCACATAACGCTTTATGCTTTTATGTCTTACAGAACAAAGCATTCTGAAGTGCTACTGGTATTGTAGGATCACACCAAACCATAACACTGGCAGAACAGAGGTCAGTAACCTTCACAATGAAAAGAAAAACTAAATTGGGAAATTTGCTTCACCATAATTAACTTGATACGGTCCTTTGAAAAAAAATAACTGATCAAAATTTATGAGTACCTACCAAATAAATTTAGTTTAATGATTAGGTCGCCCATTTTTATTGTTGTTTTCAAGTTTCACATTAAAAGAAATAAAATAAAAGAAACACACAACACTTCCCGAGTACGTTTGCATTTGAAAATGAAAAATAAAACAAAAAAAATTACCGACCAAACAACAACACAAAAAGATTAATGGAAAAAAAAACCTTTGTTGTACCTGATTGTACGGTTTGGATCATACCTGCGCGTGGGCTGCATGATTTTACTCGCACGTGGAAGTCCACTCGCCCCCACTAAGGAAGCCGGACGAGGAAGCGAGCTGCGCGGGGCGGGCGACTGGCTGATGCCGGTCTTCAGAGCATGCGGCAGCAAACCACTGGCTTTCAGGGGCTGAGGAAGTGCTGTGCTGCTCGGGATGCAGCTCAAACTGGCGGAGGTGGACAGGAAAGTGGAGGTGGGACCCTGCTGCACCGTGGGACTGACGTAGGCTGTGGCTTTCAGCTGCTGTCGTGGAGTGCTGGAGAAGTTTCCGACGCTCTGGACTCGCTGGGTGAGCTGACCTGGGGAAGGGACTGAAAACACAGTGGGAAACCCACAAGACAGGCTTGAATTATAGAAGAACCGAGCTCCGTGTGGCTGATTTATCGGTAGACACAAGGGTCTTACTGGAGGACTGGAGCCGGAGGAGCCCGCTGGACGAGTCAAAACTCTGGCTGCTCCGGAGGGAGGGCATTGGTGGTAAAGAGGAGGGGCCATTGGAGGGTGGGTTGACAGGGGAGGCCAGGCACGGAATACTGGGAACACTGGGCATGCTGGGAGCTCGGATCAGGTTGGGCATGCTTCTCCGTAGCTTGTCTATTCAAAAACGTTAGCGCACGTTAGCACGTGTGCAAAAAAGATTTACTAAAGGAAATAGCACTTATAATTTGAGAGGATCTGAGATAAAAATAAACAACAACAAAACTATAACTCAACAAATGGAACATTGTATTTCTGTTTATGGAACAAATCTGTGGAGTCATCTGGCAAGAGAAACCAAAGAGAGTAGATTTTAATATTATACAATACCCTAATCAAGGTAAAATGTGGCATATTCACTCAGTAGGAAAGATAAATTATTTTGTTTGTTATTACTTTTTTATATAAATTGTGCTTAAAGGTGTATCTCTATAGTCGATTGATGCTTCGCTTTTGTGGTTTAATGAATTGACCTTTCAGAGAAGGGTGAGGGCATTAGGTAGATGTTTTTCTACCAACTCCTCTTTTTCATTCAGAACTTTTGTTTATATCAGCATATCATCCCATCATTTTAAACTGCAGATTACTTAAACGAATAAGTAATAAAAGTTGTGCTCAGATCTTGCTGCATTGAACTACTGCATTCAAGACCTTTAGCAAAAAAAAAAAAAGGGGTTGCATGCAAACGTCCAAATTTGAATTTGCAAACAGAAAACACTCACCTGTTCCGCTCCTGTAGGCCGCGTGTGTGTCTGCGATCAGGCTGGAGGGTCCGGACAGCTGAGAGAGTCCGCTGAGTGAAAACTGGGGGGCGGCCGAGGTGCGCCTGCAGTCTCTGAAGCTGGAGAAGGTGTGAGAGTGGGGCAGGCTGCCCCGCTGCATAGAGCCCGTGCGAAAGAGTCGAGGCTGGGGAGGCGGCAGCTGGTCGTAGCCTTCGTCCTCCTCGTCCTCCTCCTCCAGGTCCAACTCACAGCGCCTGAGGGAGTGCAAGGAGAAACTGGAGCTGCGACGGCCGGCCGTGGCTGAGGTAGAGGTAGAGGCGTAGTCCTGGCGAAGGCCTGGAGGAGAGGGGATCGATACTTTTATCCTGATGAAAACACGAGTCTGAACTGTATAGTGTATACGATATATTCCGAATAGAGGCACCACTCATCTATTATTCAGCTGCTGTATAAGTAAGCCAGACTGATATAGGGCATATTTCTGAAATGGTCTGCATAATTTATGAGCTGGCTACTCAAAGTCAACGTTTCAGAGGTCACATACCTCTCTCCGTCCCCCCCATACAACAACACATCAGCATTTTCATTGTGAGCCATAGACAGAACAAGGAAGCATGAGCAGAGATACGGCACCGTCCACGAGGTACTCAGAAATCCATCTTTCATTTCAACAAAATTATTGAATGCTTTGGTCAAATGGGTTAAAAGAAAATGCTACAATTTGGCTGACTCACATTACAACTTACTGTATGTTGTGTCAACATTTGGTGGTTAGTTTTTGAACCACCAATTAATTCCTGCAATTTTTAATGTTTTTTTCACAAATTTGAAAGCTTAATGTTCATAGTTTTTCTACCAATTTCTCACATGATGGGAAGTATTTATTTATGTACTCTTTCACAACAAGATAATTATTCACACACATATAACATCCACATGTTGGCCCTGAAGGTTTTTTTTTATTTATTTTTTAGATAAGGTCCTGCTTGTTGTCCCTCAGGGTCTGGTCTTTGGGTCAGTTCTGCTCATGATGGCTATTACCGATACACAGGAGAGTTATGGGTCAAAAACTAAAGTAAAAGCTGCGGATTTTCATTCTACAACGTATACAATAAAACTATTTGTCAGTTTGTGCTTGCTGGAAACTCAGAGAAATTTAAAATTGTCTCAATCTGCAAATAGTCGCCACTTCTTAGGGTTTGCCAATTGAATTCAACTCCACTAGCAAGAGTTTGTGCTTTCAGGAAGATATAGATGTATTCCTGATGTTGATGAAAACACTCATCATGGATCTGTATTTATAGCTGCATGTATGAAAATATTTAGACTGCTGTAACTCATCCTGTCTTAACCTGCACTGCTCAGGA